GGGGGTGTAGCTCATATGGTAGAGCGCTCGCTTCGCATGCGAGAGGCACGGGGTTCGATTCCCCGCACCTCCACATTTTCCTTTTTTTTTTTAAATTTATTATTTCAGGAGATTTTTTACGACGGCCCTTTTCTTTTCTTTTTCTTCATTTTTTATTATTTTGTTGGTTTTTCATGGCTGCCCTTTTAATTATGATTTATTATCAACTTTTAAAATTCCCTTCTTTTGTATACACACATACATTGGATAAATATAGTCAATATTTAATATTCAGGTGTTTTATCAATTTTATTTCTAATATTTTAAAAAGTTTCCATTTATTTCCCAAAATGTTGAAACCAATATAAGCTTAACTTAATGGTTAAGACATCTTACTCCTCTCCAATTGGAGGTTCAATTTTCTATTTCCATATTTGTTGTAATAAAAAAAATTTTGCGAGAAATTGGTTACTTAGAGAATAAAAATTAAAATCTTTTGTACTCAAACTTATCATATTTATTTTAATTAATTATGTGGTTCACTAAAATGTTATTATTATATTTTAGTAAGATCATGAATTTGAATTTCCAGAAAAAAAAAATTATTATAGGTTTTTTTATATATAAGAAACCATCATGGTCTTAATTTCTTATTATTGTGACAAGATGGATACATGATAATCATATTACATTACATATTTGTATCAACTGTGACCCAAAAATTGTTAATTGGATGGGGTGTAGCCCATATGGTAGAGCGCTCACTTTGGATGGGGAGTAGTTACAATGTATAGTTTTATTCTTTTGTACTTAATTCTGGTATATATATTGGCTACGTGTAAATCAATAAGCAAGTCAAGTTTATGTACTCTCAATCTCAATAAATATTGTGACAAGATCTTGATGGCAATCAAAAGTTTAATTGTAATTGAAAAATGAAAAAATAATCATTACCTTAAGTTTCAAGTTCAACTTTTCATTCATGGTAGAGCGATCGCTTTGCATGTGAGAGGCACGAGGTTCAATTCCCTGCCCCTCCACTTTTTTTGTGAAATAGAATAGAAATGTATTAACGGCTAAACTATGGCATTGACATCTCTTCCTTCTAATTTGGTGGGCGCTTATCTGCTGCACCATCGTATTAGATTGCTAAGTCATATTCATGTTAGCTATGATAATAACGATCATAACCTTAATCGTAATTAAAATAAGAAAAAAGAAATATAATCATAATCTTAATTATTGAATATTTTGGAATAATTGAAACCCACTGGGGTGTAGCTCATAAGGTAGAGTGCTTGCTTTGCATGTGAGAGGCACGGGGTTCAATTCCCCGCACCTCCAAATTTTTTCTTGTGTTATTAATTTTCCTCGTAAAAAAAAGGAAGTTATTTTAGGTTTTTTTTTTTAAAAAAACTAGTCCATAATACGTGAATGTAAAATTTGAAGTATATAATTACATTTATTTAAATGCTTTATCTGAATCTTAAGAAAAAAAAATTAAACTTGTACAAAAAAAAATTGAGAAAATATAAAAGAATGGTAAAATGAAAACGTTAAATTTATCCTCCATAATATCATTTTAAATACCTTTATTAAAAGAAAAATACCTTTTTTTTTAATTGAATGAAAAGAAAGTGGTAAAAAAGAGAATTCTAAATTAGATATAAAATATTTAAGAACGATAATTAAAGAAAGTGAATGAAAAAAGAAAGAGACAAAATGGAGAAGAAAGCATATCCTCCCTTTTTTACATAATACTAATCAGCAACAATTGCGTGAAAGTTTGTAGTTTTATTTTAAAGTATAAAAAACATAAAAATTAATAAGATAGTTAAAAATTATAGTATAAATTAATTTTATAAAAATTCAAGGGTTGATTTCATAATTAAATTTAAGTAAATAATTAGAATAATACAAATTTAAAATGACAAATTTGTTCCCTAATAATCTTTCATATTTATAATAATAAAATACCTAATTAGACATTTATAATTGTTCTGATTTATTAATTAAAACCAAATTGGAACTTTAAAGGACTAAATTAAAACCAATTCCAAACCGAGCTAAGTTGAAGCTTTTAAACTGTGAAAACTCGATTGGAATAGGAGAAATCAGTAAAAAAAAAAGTTTTTTGATGGTCATACAAATTAACCGACGAGTTAGAATCAAATCGAAACTATGTTCAAATCATAAGAAAGAACATTTTTTAAAAATTAAAAAATCTCTCTGGGCACTTTTTTTTCTTTCCTTTTCCTACTTGTGCTTGCCCTTTATGCATTTTTTTCCTACTTATCAAAAACATAATTGTACCCCTTTTTTAGTACAACATGTGAAAGCAGAAGATCGAATTCACAATCTCTTGATTGGAGATATATGTTAATTACCACTGAATTATGTTCGCTTTGACAGAATTATTAATATGTTATTAATCATTCAAAACTTATACAACATTTTTTATCTCAGGAGACCTCATATTATACTAGCATCTTTATTGGTTCTTCGATTATCCAAAGGTGTATATTCTCATTTTGCCTGGATCTGATATCGACTTTTTCGAGAAAATTGGTCTTCGAGATCCCTATTAACCCCTCAAGAAGTAGGGATTATTCAAGAAAATGGAGCAAGTGGGAAACAATTTTTGAATCCATACATTCATCAAAATTGAATTAATAAAGAGCCCAACTCATGTGGAATTTCCATCTTCCATTAAAAATGAAGGAATATAAGAGGAAAAGGCCTAGGAGCTCACATAATAGCACTCCAATAGGCCCTAATTACAAAAAGAGAGTAATTACAAATTTGGTACACAAAGAAAATTTCATTTTGAGGCTTACACTATAATCATCAACCAGCACTATTCTATAAAACTTCTATTTCTTTCTAACTACAGTTCCCAAAAAGAGCCTTAATAATGTTTTTCCAAGAGATTTTTTTTCTTCTAACCTCTGGAAGAAGATGTGCACAAAGTCTGGAGGAGAATCTCTTTAATTTGCACAAGGTCTTGAGAAAAACCTTTTTGATTGTTCTAACAGCTACCCTACCAACTTAAGCAGCAGTTATATTTCCAAAGCTATGCAGTTTATCATATATGCATACCATACCTACAGTTCAGATAGAGAGATAAAACCCGCCCAAACGCACATCTGGAGGGATGGGTTTTAGTTTCCATCATTCTTGTCGATTCTATTCGCCCGTGGCTTCAGAATGAATTCTGTTGTACAAACGGTATATCGTGGTGGATCGGGACATCTGGGGCTCTCTTTGCAGCACAGCAATGACATCTTTGACCGAAATACTACGAGCCACCCTAGTTTGAGTTGAACTTAGTTGGTTCCTTCCAAATTTCCTGCTCGTTCCTGAGTAAAAACAAGATAGATGGCGTTAAACTACTGCTGGTTTTCTCTTTCCTTTTACTTTCTTCTCTCCCTAATTTAAAATAAAATGCGATAAAAAAAAGAAAAAAAAAAAGAAAAGATAAGTGGAGTGGATGATAAGTCTTGATAACCATTTCACTCCTTTTTATTTTAGAAATTAAGGTTATCAACTTCCACCCGTGTTTTTTTTGTTTCATTATCTACTTCTTAAAAGTACTTTTCAAATTTAAGCAAAATTTTAAAAACCAAAAGTGGCTTTTAAAAACTTATTTTTATTTTCGAAAATTTGGCTAAGAATTAAAATAAGTTTTAAGAAAGGTGAAAAACATATAAAAGAAATGGTGTGGAAACAAGCCTCATTTTCTAAAATAGAAAAAATAATAACAAAACAAAATCATCTTCAAAGAGGACCTTGACCTTCAAGCTGTTGATGCTGATGAGTTGGATGACTATCATTTCTCTGGAAATAAACTTGTTATAACTTCCACATCATATATGATGTCTATGGGAAAACTGTGGGCT